CAGGGACCACTGTCCCACATCGGGCCTGTCAGTACGCGTGCCCGATCCGCCCCCTGCCAGGCTCTCGGTCCCAGACGCTATACCCGGACCCCCTTGACCCCGGACGAGTCCCTGACAGGTGAGCACTTATTGTGACCGTGATTGTGGCTGTGACAAGTTACTGTGTCATCGCTGCACCACATCCAGAGATTGCCTCAGACACCCTTTCTGTGCTATCCCAGTGCTTAAGTCCCATCTATTGGCTATAAACCGCTATGGCTCATCCCTTTGGCAACCCCTCTGTACTTAATCAGCATCACAGCACCAGGATTTGTCACTTGGCTTCGTCTCAAGCCCCTAAGCCACCCCCAGCTCCCAAAACCCAGAAATCCAGCACTTCCAGCACTTCTAGGCATGGAAAGGCTTCCAAGAAGATCTCACAGAGTGCAGCTGACACTGAGGCTGAATCTGAGTCTGAGGTTTTGAATCTATATATATATATGTGCTATGGCGCTGCAAGAGGGCTAGCGGCTCTCTATGCCGACTAAGCTCGTGGGGCCAAACTCTCCAAAACTCCTACTTCTTGACTTAACTCGATCCTTAACTCCGTGGTGGGTTCTCTGGGATTTCCGCAAGGTCCGGGCTCAGTATCCACTACTCACTCATTGTGAGCTAGATCACTGCCCTTATTCCTACTGTTGGAATTCACCACTCACACCCTCTCTAGCGCGTCCTAGCACCTTAGAGAAAATTAAAATTGGGGGAGGGGAGAACTTTTTTCTCAAAAATCTGGTATGTACAGGATATAAGGAACAATTATTTTTAGAATAATTGATGGGAAATATTGGTACCATATGGCACCTGCATACCTTATTAGGTGAAGTAATAAAAAAGGTAACAGTATCAATAAAAGAATATTGATCAATAACTGAAATGATGGCAAAATATGAAAATATAAGAAAATAAGCGATTTCTCAACGGATTTACGGAATTAAGATCCGAAATTGGAAATGTAGCCAGAAATAACTCTCACACAGCCGATAAACATTTTTACCAATTTATTAGATGCCGTGGGAATGAGTGAGGCTAGAATTCTGGGTTGCCGCTTGAGATTCCCACGCCTGCACATGCCTGTGCCTTCCATGCCTAACCTGTCCAATGCAGAACTCCATCAAATCTTGACCAATTGGGGCATTCTTGGTATCGTCAGAATCGTACGAATTAGGACTATTTTTAGGTACCAAATTCCGTACCGAGTCGTCGCATGAATAAAAAGGGTTTTCTAATCATGGAAACGGGTATCCGAGCCGGTGCTGCATGTGGGTGATTATCCTGCCTACAGCGCTGTAGGAGTGCATAATGGGTGTGCTCAAATTCATGGAACCTGATGCACCAAATACGTCAAAAATTGGGCTCCTGCCCTTGTACATTATTAGGAAGAAAGAATGATAGAGGGGAGTAATAGGAAAGAAGAAAGAGGGTTTTCGTACGAACCGAATGAGCCTTTCAGCGAAGGAATTGGTTGAGATTTGGTGGAGAAATTCAACCTGAGATGTCCTCATGAGCAAAGTCCGTGCACTTGACCGCGACCATGAGAACAAGGTCAAAAGCTGACGGAAGAGGACGATCTTGGGGTCATTAAATCGAGAGAAATGCCCAAATACTCAGTGTTGAATTTCACCCTAATCGGTTCAGTGGTTGTAGAGATATTCTGATTATCAGGCATGACGAGAGTCATGGGACAATATGAACTATGAGGAAGCTCACGTGCGATTAGAGGAGTCTTGGAATTGTGGCATATTATTTGGCCCAAGTTTTCCTGTGCACAGATAATCAAGATATATATTCCATTTCTGAGAATTCCCGTTCTCAGTCAAATCTCCACCAGACTTCACAAAATCGGTATCGATAGAAAGCTATGGATGAGGAGAGTCGAGTGGGATAAAGGGACGGAGGTTTGATGCAGTTTTTGGAGTGGTATGAGGAAGTTTGTGTTTTTCTTTTCAATTTCCTTGGTTGTTTGGAATTTTATTCAAGGCCAACAGCAGCCGAACCTTACCACCATTGTTGGTGGAGGCTTACTAAAACCATATATTTCGGACTCTTTCACAGATTGTATGTTTGCTGTATGGGTATATGTACATAGTGATTGAAACGAACCAGAGATTTTCCCCCTCCCACTACTTTAGAAGTCCATGTACTTGGGTGCTGTGAGTGGCCACACGATTGGTAAAGGGCTATCATGACCTTTAGGAAAGTCCACCACGGAAAGAAGATAAGCAAGAGTTACCAGAGTTATATATTTCCCCAAAATTCCCCCCCCTCCTGTTGATTATACAGACCTGTTCATACCGCAATGCCCCCTTTTCTCTTTCTTCCCTAGTTTTTGGGGAGTGAGTTGGAGTGCTACCTTGACCTGGGGGTAGTGTCTGAGTTGGGTTGGAAGGAGGGAGAAAGGATGGTGGCAACAGTGCCAATACTGTGCTGTGGTCTGGGTGCTAGAAAATAATCAATAAAATCTCACTAATCATGTACTCACTCCTGGTCCTTCTTGGACAGTCGTCAGGAGGCTTCTTTAACGTATGGAAGGATCGCTCAACACCACATTCTTTGTAGCACAGAAGAGGGGTCCAACAACTGTAAGTACAATGCAAACTGGGTGTAGAAAAAAAGAGAAATCAGAACAAAAAAACAAGGAAAATAACCGATGGATGGTGGCAATGGAAACAGGAAGAATGTTGAGAACTCGGCTAAGAAACAATAAGGCAAAAAAAATGTCCACAAGGCAACAATAAAATCAATAATTGAGGCCCATAAGGTCAATATCAACCATCAATCTCACTTCTCCACCGCATATCCGTCATCCTAACTCCCGTCCTGTCATTTCATCCTCTTCTCCTGATCCATCTCTGTCCTTAGAGCTCGAAATCGTGTGAATTGGTGGAAAATTGGTGGAGATATGGGGGAAATGGTGGATAACCGTGAAATTTGGGGAAGTGGCAATACAAGTCTTGAGAAAAAAGCTTGGAAAAAAATTGGAAAGAATGTGGAAATGTGCCGTGGGCATTGGGAATGTGTCAGAGGCTTGAGGGTGCTCATTGAAGCCTCGAAAAATGTGGTTCTGGCCTTGTTTGTGTGGTACTTGCTGTGCCCTCCTACATACAGGCCAGAAATGTAAGTGGGCTAGGGATCTAACCCAGCAGGCAAACAGGAAAGGACAGGGACTGGATTGGTATCCAACAGGTCAGTGAAAAGGGGAAATATGGTAATGGTCCGGTGTGGTGCAGTGTGTGGTGTACTCTAATCAACCTCTCACCCCACCTCTCTGGGTGACACTAAGGCAAGGACTGATCTAGAGGTCTTCTTACTGATGTTCTTTGTCGTAATACTCCCTACTAGCTTGGGAGGGGCAAACTCAGTGGTTTCTAATCCAAAGGAAAAGGTAGATACATCCTCATGTACAGGTATATATGAGAAATGATCAAATAAAAATGAAGGAAAATATCCGATGAGTCCCATGTGCTCAGGTGGATCATATGGGCAACAAACAATATCGGAAAACAGAAGGGAAAACAATAATCAAGAAAACAATAAAGCAATTTCCAGCCAAAAAATACCCGGAACATTCCAGGTCCAACCTCAACCTCGACACCTCCCAGACGAGCATGCAACACCTATGCCCCTGACTCCGGACCTCCGCTCCGGAATCCTGTTTCGCATCTCTGTCTCCAGAACCTCCGGTCTTAGCTCCAACCTCGGACTTTGACCCCACCTCCGCTTATACCCATTGTATTGGTTAGCTCATTCCATTTAATTACATTTGCCAATATTCCGGAGTTTAACTTCCGAGTTCGGACGTTCTGGACTTATGTCGGACCTTGCAACTATTGCATTGTTCCATCCAATTCCGCTATACTCCCTCATTCCTATTTGGGCTGCTGCTTCCTTTCCATTCAGTCAGCTGGCCATTCCCCACTCCCATCCTCCTTCCTTCCTCCTTGGGCCTTGGCCCTTCATTCCTCCTTTGAGAAACACCATTGAGTCAAACCCTTGACCCTCGGTGTTGTTCCTCTTTCCATCTCCCTTTGTCTCCTTTCATCCTACCCTTGTTCCTTTTGATTCCAGACCCCTCCTTATATACAATGTACCTAGTAACTTGTAACCTCAGTCCGAAATCGACCTGAATTCCCCCCAAGAGACTTTCCCTCTGCTAGATCTGAAATTAGGGACCCCTAGGACAACCAGCAATGGCACAGCGCTCCGCCTGAGTCGCTGAGGCCGAGGTCCTTCCACGCTAAGTCTCTGATTCCACCCCGGAGTCGTCCGAATCCGCTCGTTCTAACACAATCACTTGTAGTGATTCTGACATCGCAATACTTTTCTCTGGGGACAGATCGACAACAATTGTGTCATATATGTGACTAGGCACTACTTGGGGCCTCTCTTTGGCTAACAGCTGTGCATTACACATATGAAGCGGTGTGGAGGTATGCATAGCCCAGTTCGCAAAAGTTGAGTCTGGGACATCAGACTCTGCCTCCAAATTCTGGGGCACTAAACTTGGTTGCTGGCATGCAACGACTCTTGGAAATGTCTAGCTCAAAGCTTTTCATGGAATCGTCATCAAGAGGAGTGCTGGGGCTGGAGGCTTTAGCTCTTTTAGCAATGCGCTCTTGCATCATCTCCTTGACTCTCATTGCCAGAACTTGGCCAAAACCGTCTGGGATCTCTTCTGGTACTGAGATCGGTGTCATACGAGACCAATAGAGCTCGTCACTGAGGCTGGGAGGCCTTAGCTCTTTCGATTTAAGCTCAGCGCACTCTTGCGCTACTGTTCTGACTCATGCTTTGTCCAGCTTGCCACCAAACTTGCTTGTCATGTCTGGTGCGGACTCTCCGATGACTACAATGTGTTCTTGAATGATGAGAGAGTGCTCTGATGTCTCTGGTTTGCAAATGTCAACCTGGAACTCGGTGACTAACATGCAATTGGCCACTTGAGTCAACTCAGACTCACATGCTTGTGTTGGAGGAAGGGATCAAGTGATCTCCCAAACCATGAGGGAAGGGGTACCCCCCCCTGGCATAACAGGCGAGTAGTGTATGGATGCATGCTAGAAGTCCTGGGTTCGATACCAGGCTTGTCCATTTTATGTCATTTGTCCAGTCATGCTGGTTTACGTCATAAGAATTTGGAGCTCCAGATAAGTCCAGTAGTCGCACCGGATACAAATTTCCTCAGCTCGGGCCAGCTTGTTGCCCACATTCCAGTTCATGCTTAAGACCTTGTCTGGGTCTTTCTCAGGTGGACATTCATATCCATCATCAAAGAAATCGGGTGGGCATGGAGTACCAGCGCACTCAAGCACTTCCGTGGAATCAGCACAAAGTTCAACAGTGGGATTTTTCGTCATCATGTAACCTTGATGTATGGCAGCATAGTGATAAATCAAATAATTGACTTGTTTTTCATGTGGCGCAATGGCAGGAATGGCTTCGTGTGAGATAGTGAGTCCGGTGTATTCAGGCGCTTCACTGTCAACTGCAGTGTCATCAGATTCATATCCGGAATCCCAAGTGAAATACTCCACTGGGTCAGCGATCTGTGAGACTTCACTAAGGTACACAGTGTTGTCTTTAGTTGCATCCTTGTGTGCAACTTGCAGTATGGCTGTGGTGTGCTCAGCACCATCATTCTCTTCGTGCTCGGTCTCTGCGCTTGAAACTATCACTTCATTCTTAACCAGTCTGGTGTTTATGTGCGAACTAAAAGAGTCTGAGGCTCCAAGGCTTTCGTCTGGCTTGGCTCTGAACTCATGGCACGTCTGTGCTGCACAATCTGGACTCAATCCAAGCTTTGCGCTAGCTGGATTTCTTGGGTATTCAAAATCGATGGCTGCAACAGCTGGGTCAACTACTTGGACTACCGCTACACTTCTCTGGACTGGACTGGGATGCGTGTGATCGCATTTTCCCATCAGTGTGCAATCCTGAGGCTCAATCTCAAAGTCCCCACTGAACTCAGGTTCAAGTTGTGCAGAACTCTGGCTGGCATGATCTTGTATGTCACATGGAATGAAGCGCTGGGGATCTCCCTGCACTTCTGGAATGGCTCTGGTCATGTTGAGCTCGATTCCTGTTGGAATTTGCACATGGTCTTTTAGGGAAACCTAAAAGTTGGACATACTGGGAATCGAACTCCAGTCTTCTGGATTGTGAACTCAGTGTGCACAGCCATTACACGATACGCCCTGTTAGGCTGAGGTGGTTATTTCAACAATTCCAGGATCAAACAGATAGAATTTCGCCATCTTCACTAACTGGGCACTTATTCTGTGATATGAAGGGCTCTGGCCATGATCAGGCACTGAGGCGCTGCTCTCTTTTGGTTCATACGATGGATGATAGCAATCATCTGGCATCAAATGTCCATTTGCATCATGCATAACTGCAAATTCCAACTCAAACTCTGAGATTGGATTGTATGTGGTCACTTTCTTGAATGTGAGCAACACTCCAGGCTCAATTGTTGATGAGTGACAATTGATCTCGGAGCTGGACTATGAGTAAATACTCAGTCTTAGCCAATATGTGTGAAGAACTGAATATATTACCTATGAGTAAATACTAGAGGTAATATACATAATATAAGTTACAATGATAAAACAGTGAGGGAATGTAACTAACCTCAGTCTCAGCCAATATGCATGAAGAACTGAGGGAAAAGGAAAAGAATTCAAAAGAATGAATATATCCGTGGCCGGCACGGATTAGTCCAAAATAATATAAAAGAGAAAAGGTGTTGTGACTAAGAAGTCACATGGTGAATTCTGGGCGAGTTGCTCTCCCAGAATGTTCCCATGCTAACACAGGAATGTGGCTGTCCACGCCAACTCCGCTGGACATAGCACAGATCTCCAACATCAATGCTTGTCACAAGAGTGTCTACTGTTGTAATGTAGGGATTCCTGATAAGGCAATCCACTTACTTCAGCGGTTATACTCACGAGACCAGAGGTAAGCTAGAAACTTTTCTGATAATTTTGCTCAATGCACATCTGTGCATATTTATACATACACAAAATGTATTACAATGATATTATATGTAAAATAAGTAACTGCACAAGTGCACATACACAAGCACAGACTAAGCAGGAATATTCTGGCAATTTCCCACAACAATCCAGAATCCCCCGGAAGGTTCCGGTGACTCGTGACTTCAACACTCCCCCTCGAGTCATGTATCCTGTACAATAACAGATGCAAACTTAGTGAATAGATCTTCGGGAAGTGGCTTTGTGAAAATGTCAGCCAAGTTGTTGGATGAGCAGACATGATGAATTCTGAGATCACCATGTTCAATTAATTCCCGAATAAAGTGATGCCATGTATCAATATGTTTGCTCCGGCCATGAAATTGGGGGTCATGAGTTAATGCAATAGTCCCACAATTATTGTTGTTGAGATTGAATGGGCACTCCGCATTGAATCCGAGTTCCTGGATGAGCATTTGGTGCCATAGTATATGGTGTGATGTGTGACTTAAGGAAACATACTCGGCTTCCATAGTCGATAGGGCGATAGTCCCTTGCTTCTTAGTGCTCCAGGCAACAGCTCCCCCTGACATGATGAATAGGTTACCAGGAATAGATTTCCAGTCCTTTTGTTCTGCCCAATCTGTGTCTGCATACCCAATTGCCATTAATCCAGAATCCGATTTTGAATAGGTAATTCCGTGATTGATTGCCCCCTTTAGGTATCGAAAAATCCGTTTGACTCCAGAAATATGTTCCAGACCATAAGAATTATTGAATTGTGCAAAGTGATGAACAGCAAAGGCAATATCTGGGTGCATGCATAATGCGGCCCACATAAGCGATCTGATCATTGTTGAATAGGGGTAATCTGGGCACGGGCCTGAGAACTTTTCATAGGCCTATTTCGGGTGCATTGGGGTAGGCACTGGATTGGAATCAATCATTCTGGCACATTCAATTATGTCGCGAATGTATTGTTCTTGCAAGATCATGATTGAATTGTTGCTTCGGTCTTGGGAAATTTTAATCCCAACAAAGTGATTCAATTCTCCAAGATTGCAGGTGTCAAATTTTGACTTGAGTTCATTTTTAACGAGTTAAATATGATCTGCAGGGGCAAATATGGCAGAGTCGTCAACGTGGAAGGCAATAATTGATATTTTCCCATTTTGGTGACACACATAAATGCAGGTGTCAGTGAATAAGTGCATGTAACTTAATTCAGTTAATGCCTTATGTAGTCATCAGTTCCACACCCGCTGTAGGAGAAATAACGGTCACACTATGGAAACCCAATATAGAAATATGCCAGATAAATCACAAAACCTCATACGACAAGTAGATAGGAGAAAATAGAAGGAGCTGAATTTTAACGAATTTTTACGAATTTTTACGAATTATTATGACTATACGTGATAAATCGAAAGAAAGAAAAATAGCAAAAATACTTCAAGCTTACCATCAACGAGACGGAATTCTCGGGGGAATTTATAGCAAATATTAAACCAAGAATTAGGACAATCGACCAAGATTTGACTATAAAAACAATCAGAGAACCTCCACAGAAACTACTTTCCCACGTCTGAACATGTAGCCAAGGATGGAAGTACCACGGAACAAGGATTCCTCAGGAACTAATGCAAAATTCAAAGTCATGTCTATGATAGGAAATGTAGATGTCCCCCAAACGGACCCAATGAAAGTAATTACAGGGGAAACTACCCATAAACGATGGAGATATGACTAAAACTCCTGCAAAATGAGGACAACGTCTAAAAGGCAAGCGCGAAGATTAACCAGTAACGACCGAGACAAGCTTGATAGCCCATTAGAAAGGAAGGGATCTAATCTTAATCCTCCCAAATTTTCATAATAAAAGGATCATGCATTAATAAGATATCCAATAACCGGAATAGCGACATCAAAAGTCCGAGCTCAGGGAAAAGACAATGTTTGCGTAGGATCCATAATTAAAACATACAACGAAATTTACACGGAAATTATGAAAAATGGGGAACTATAGTTATGCAAATTTTCAGCCCAAACGGTCCAGCCGTTGTGAAGTTATACCCATGACGGGAATATAGAAATCCGCATCATGTGTAATGACACATGAGGGTGGCGATGTGCAGGGAACCGGCTGTCGGAACCGAGATCCGCACTTCGGCAGATTGCGAAGACCAATTTCCGTCCAAATAAGGAAGAGCCCGGTCAAAACAAAGCATGGAAAGTGCAAAACAACCTTAGATCATGAGGGAAAAATCTGAAATAAATCACAGAAGCCCATATGAAAGAAATAAACACCCGCGCATATCATAAATCCCGAACAATTAAATGGAAATGGCGCCCACTGAAGGAGCGGAGCTGGATCACCTTATGTAACCAGTTTCCTATGTCCAATAACGATGTTAGAGTTTGTGCTGATTTGCGTACTGACCGTGTTTTGGTTGCCAAATATATGATTGTTCACTGTCTAAACAACAATAAACACCCCCCAACGATCTCACCTGACGTATAGATCGTCTACGGATAAAATTCTATATTGACTTTACTATGATTTCTAGTCAATATTACACCTATATTTACCACTTTTCAGTAGGATGTGATTTTCCTGATAATTTACTGAAGGAAAACTGCTAATAGAATAATTCCGCAATAAATGTTACTCAATACAGGAGTGACCAAACTGCTCTTTCTATCGCTTAGAGTGCGTGCTAGTTATCTAGCAGGTTCAGGATCGCTCACTTTTCTCCTGTGGTGTGATAACCAAAAATTGCTGAGAGATTATTCAATTAAGAAGTCCCTCCACCAAATTCTCACTAATTCTCACTATGACACTTTTGTTCAGCTGTGTCTAACTGACCCTAACTCACGCTTAGAGTGATGTGTTAGTTTTATATTAGCTAACAACTAATATTTGCTTTTATCTTTTGGAGCAAACGAACCAACCACTGGTGAGGAGAATTAAACTTTTATTTCTACCTGAGGTTTGAGAGGGGGCAGAAGCGGCGGCCTTTTATGCTTTTCAGAGGCCTCTCTACTCCCACGCCTCGCACTAGTTACATGTGCTACATTTGTATTATAGATAGTTCTAGAATGATATAGGGGCTTGGGCTGTGTAAGCTTAATAATGGACTTAGGACATGACTCAGCAATAAGTAATTCATTTCTTTGTCTTTTGGGCCGATCTCAGCGGGATCTTGTAGCGCTGAAGCTATGCTCTACACCGCCTTAATTACGAACGGTTATCTTTAGAAATGACTCGGCTATAAAGGAACTTTCTAGGCTGTTCTCTAGTTGACCCCTTTTTGTGAAGCCACATCATTACTAATGTTCTAGAGCCTTCCCAATTAATTAACTGATCCGCGGACTTCTGAATCACTTTATGCTTATGATCCGAGATCCAGATCATCAATCATTCCTTTGTTCCGATTTATTTGAGCTTAAAATCAAAAAGTTTTGATGAATCATGGGAAAATATACAAGATCCGGTTTTTTAGCATTTTCTCCTCTTCTGATGCGATCAAAAACTGTCCGCCCGTGCCGGGGAATACTCTATCATATGGTATTCGGTCCGCCAGACTTCCGGGCGCCAATATATTTCCCTTGAGTCACATTACTTTTTGTAAGAATTAGCAAATAAATGTATATGAATTATAAGGTGTTTCGCCGTTTGAGCGATATCTCCGTCAGTTTTGAAGCTTTTAGAATGAAACAAAACCGTGGATAAAGTTAAGAAACAGTCCTTTCAGATGGTAAAAAGGTTACAGTCAAAAGTTTACTGGTTCCCGAGATATTCACATTTCTTTCCCAATGTTCCTTCTTATTCTGCCATCTATGTGCTATTTTCTTGTTGTAGGGTTATATTCTTTGAATATTACACCTATGCCAAGTTCTAGGCATGATTGTAGTAGATTAAATCTCATACTACATGGGTGTAGATAATTTATAATGATCTAATGTCTGTCCAGTCTCATAAAGATCATGAGATCTGTTAAACGTCTGAACTTGTCACCTGTTCGTTGACTATTCTGATAGATCATTGTTTTATTCTTTGAATATTATTTCTCCTACACCGCATATGA